AAATCGCAGATTGTACCTGAGACAAATACCAAATAAAACAAGTAAGCAAAGGCTACAGCCGAGCGGGGCCGACCGTTGAATACCCTACAACACTGTAATAAACGATACAGTTTATATAGGCGAGATACTCGAAAGAATTCCACACGATATTGTGACAAATAATAAAAGAAAACCATCACGTTCCGTTCTCTAATTTTCGAATAATAGCAACTTAAACTAATTTGCTCATTTCCAATTTATTGGTAGATGTTGCACGTAAATGGTCTTCCTAGATCTGGAACCAATATTTTTTGGTCCATTCCAACCCCTAAATATATGACGATCATCTCCAAAAAGAATAGGCTTTTATTCTGACCCTCATCTTATCTCCATGCAAAATTTCGTAAGGATCGGGTCATAAATGCGATCTGTATATGATATCCTGATATCCTAACTACTTAGTTTTGTTAGCTGTAGAAATATTACCAAATGTTTAATTCAAAATGAAAATATGCCAAAAATATGACAAAATTGAAAAAAATATGAGAAAATTTTACAAAATCAATATGTTCATCTTTAGAGAGATATTTTATGCGATTTTTTTAGGCGTTTTTTCTTTCCTGCCAAGAGGCCATTCTGAATTAATGAGAACTGTCGAAATCAGTTCAGCCGTTCTCGACATATAAGAGATTTTTCAAGCATATCTTCTTTGATAAACATATATATCGCACATATTTTCTATATATCCGATTTTTTAGATGTTAACATCAATGTAAAGATCAGAAGTAACCTTGTCATGGGTTTGTGATTTCGTCGGGATTTAAAATATTCGCGGTTTAATGAAAAATTTTGAATTTTTTCAACAAAAAAGATATGGTCTATTTTACCCGCTAAATATTATCCGATAACCACCCAAATGGGTAGGCTTCTTCCCTGCCCTAAACTCTAGCTACATGCGAAATTCCGCGTCGATTGGTCTATAATTGCGACCTTTAGAGCAAGTGCAAAATCAGGAATTTTTTCAGTTTTTGGTCCATTTCAACCCCAAATATTATGGCGTTTGATTTTGTTGCATTTTTTATCTCACTCTGTATATATATAAACGATTGTGGCTCTGCTGGTCTCTACTTAACTATTCTTTAAAAATCACCATTTATGGTTCAGTTGGTCCTTGAAATAAAATCGTTTGAAAACCAAGAAAAATAGATCTGTTGGCCCTTAAAAATTCCTTAAAAATGTCCATTTATGGCTCTGTTGGTCCTTGAAATAAAATTGTTTAAAAACAAAGGAAAATAGATCTGTTGGCCCTTAGCAATTTTCTAAAAATCCGCGATTATGGATCTTTTAGTTTTAAATATTTTCTTTAAAAATCCACGATTATGGCTCTGTGGGCCTTACAAAGATATATTTTAAAAATCTTCAGTTATCCTTCTTGTGCTTGAATTTTTTTTTAATTTATGGGTCTATCGTTTCTTAAAAAAATATAATTTAAAAGTTCACCTATATGGCTCTGTTGGTTATTGAAAAAATCCAGGATTTTTGTCCTTGAAAAACATTTTATAAAAATCCACATTTAAGTCCCTGTTGGTCCTCAAAAGTATCCCAAAAATATTTTTTTATAACCCCAGATAACAGCTCTGTTGGTCGCTACAGTTACCTGTGATGATAGCCACCCCCAAGTTTTAGGTCAAGTTTCGACATGGAGATGAGCCATCTTCTTCGCTTCTCGAAGATTATAGGCCACATTTTGTTAGGGAGATTGCCGTCTTGCCTATTCATTTGCTGCCTCATTATCTGGAATATTGTAATGGCCTGGTTTATGGTTATGGTATTGTTCGTCCTTGAAAACATTAGAATTTCAGGATTTCGGATCTATTCCTTCATCCAATACAAAATTTATTAACCAAGTTTAGTACTTTCCGAACTACTATAGTACCAAACTCATCCCATATCTTAACCACATACAACAAGCGTGGCATCCATATAGAATTTCAGGATTTCAGCTCTATTCCTTCACCCAATACCATGTTTAGTTTAATTTAGTACTTTTCGAACAGCTATAGGACGCATTTCCAAACCCACCTCCACATCGCAATTCCAAATACCAAAAGAGATCTCAATATCAAAATTCAGGATTCCAGCTTTATCCTTTCGATGTATACCAAATGTAATAGCATTTAGTGCTTCTCGAACAATTATAGTATTTTTCCAGGATACACATGAACAGCGACCATAACACCAGATTTCCAGAACAATCTTCTCATCCCATACCAAATTGTACCAAATATAGTACTTTTTTTACACTTGCAGTGCACATTTCCAAATCCACCACTTTATGACAAACCTCTCACCAATAGAGCCCCAATACAAAATTTTCAAAATTCCAGCTTCATCCGTTCACCCTAAACCAAACTGTTCCAAATTAAGTACCATATAGTACAGTTCGCACACTTAGTAGACTTTTCCAAAATCATCTTCATATATTAAACTTATTCTCCAATCTTGATTCTTATACCACATTTCAAGTTTTATACTATCCGTTCACATAATACCAAATGCTGTCATTTGAGAAGATTATTACAGAGCTATTCGCAAACGTAAAGTTTGATGTTCCACAAATCCTTTGGTGCATCTATCCTGTACTCCACCAGTGACCATCAATACAAAATTTGTCCAATACAGAGTAATCAATTTTTAGTACTTTCGTTATTTATTAGTAGGCATTTCCAAAAACCCAGCCTTATCACACGCCTTCGCACCATGCCTGACCCTTGTGGAAAATTTCAAGATTCTAGCTTCAGTTGTTTTGTATGGGCGTTGATTCTCAGTCAGCTATACTACTACTACTCTTTTATGTATATAATTGTCTAAAATTTCCCTTTCAATAACTCACATCTCTTTGTTTACCCTTTTTGAACTCGAGTAAAGTTTGGTCACTTTGTGTCTTTGCTAGGACCTGAGAAAATCCTATGTTTAAGTGAGTCCACAAAAGTTATCAACAAATTCAGTTCCTTTGAAAATGAAAATGAGACAAAAATAAATTGTAGACTCTAAATCTGTTAGGTAACATTCACATCCTAGGGATTTTTGACTATAATGCTGCCAAGTATCCTTCAACATTAATATTCATTGGACCTTTTTCAAACTCTTTATTTTTAAATTATGTCTATTTAAATCTTTATAAAAACTTTGGTAAAACTTCATTTATTCAATTTCAAAATTTTCAGTAAGGTATTCAAGTTGAGTATTTTTCCATATAAAGCAGTTGCCCGTCCATTCAACTAAACTTGGAGCCGACTTTCGGTACGCTTTTTTACTCATAAACTCTTATAACACCCACATTTATGGTCTATTAAAAATATACTCAAGGATTTCACGTTGCCTTGGTAATCAGTTATGGCTTGATAATTTGAAAACCATACTAATACCAGATATTCGTTCGCTAAATTTAAGGTAAATATATGCTGCAGGCAAAGATTTTTTGAAAATTATTTCCACCTTTTTATACCCTACACCACATAGTGGTAAGGGTATTATGTCTTTGTGCATTTGTTTGTAACATGGAGAAGGAAACGAGATAGACCCATAGTTACTTTTGAGAACCTTCATAGAATCACTTTCTGAGTCGATTTATGCATGTCAGTCCGTCTGTCCGTCCGTCCGTCCGTCCGTCTGTCCATGTATTCTTGTGAACAAAATGCAGGTCGCATTTATTATCCGATTGAGATGAAATTTTCCAAACAATATTTTTTTGGCCCAAGGACGAACCCTATTGAAATTGGTGAGAATCGGATCAAATTTAGATATAGCTCCCATATATATCTTCATCCGATTTCGGGTTAAATGTGCACCAAATATCCACTATCAGTCCAAATTACCTGAATTTTGGCACACCCAACCGAGTTCGGCCTAGAAGCAAGTATATCAAATTTGGAGAAAATCGGTTCAGATATAGCTATAGCTCCCATATATATCTTTCATCCGATTTGATCTTTAAGTCCCTCACATTCCTACTATGCACTCCACAACCGTGATATTTGGTACCAGGTATTAGATGGAGCACAGAAATAGCTGTTTCAAATTTTATCGAAATCGGTTCAGATTTGGATATAGCTCCCATATATATCTTCATCCGATTTCGGGTTAATTGACCACCAAATGGCCAATATCAGCCCAAATGGCCCGAATTTTGGCACATGTGACCGAGATTAGCCTTAAAGCAAATACAATAAATTTGGAGAAAATCGGTTCAGATATAGCTATAGCTCCCATATATATCTTTCATCCGATTTGGTGTTTAAGTCTCTCACATTCGTAATATGCACTCCACAAGAATGATATTTGGTACCAGATATAAGATACAGCCCAGAAATAGCTGTTTGTAATTTTATCGAAATCGGTTCAGATTTGGATATAGCTCCCATATATATCTTCATCCGATTTCGGGTTAATTGTGCACCAAATGGCCGATATAAGTCCAAATGGACTGAATTTTAGTACATCGGACCAAATTCAGCCTAGAAGCAAGTATATCAAATTTAGTGAAAATCGGTTCAGATATAGATATTGATATAGCAACCATATATATGTTTCATCCGATTTAGAGTTTTAGTCCCATACATTCGTAATATTCACTCCACAACCGTGATATTTGGTACCAGGTATTAGATGGAGCACAGGAATAGCTGTTTTAAATTTTATCGAAATCGGTTCAGATTTGGATATAGCTCTCATATATATCTTCATCCGATTTCGGGTTAAATGTGTACTAAATGGTCAAAATCAGCCCAAATCACCAGTCTAGAAGCTAATACGTAAAATTTGGAGAAACCCGGTTCAGAGATAGCTATAGTTCGTGAAATGCACGATAGAATTAGATAGATTTTGATTTTGTACCAAATATCTCATGGAGCTCTGAAATGCCCTGTATAAACCTTTTTACGAGAGCTCTACTAAAAGTGCATAGTGGTGTAGGGTATCATATAGTCGGCCCCGCCCGACTTTTGAGCTTTCCTTACTGGTTTTAAGTTAGAACTTGGAGTTCTCTTTAATTTGTGCTCTTATTTTTTATTTAAAACCATTCACATTATTTCAGCATGCTGTGCATGCACTTCTTATACAAAATTAATAGCTAACAATTACAATATGTTAAGGCATACAAACATACAATAATAATACATACATACAAATAAAATTTGTGTTATATATTTCCCTGGGATTTTTTAAGTAGTAGAATACGTTAGGTATATTTAAATATCACGCTTATCATTGATGACTTTCAAATCTAGCCTCTTTATCAGCACATTATACACTCTAGAGTTTACTTTCTTTATCGGCTTGTGCTGCTTGCTTGGCGGCCTTTGCCTGTTTTGTCCTTGCCACGGGACCAAAACGATTAATAAAATCAACAATGGGTCCAATTACATTTTCAGGGTTATTGATATGTAAATGATGGGTACCATCAGCTTCAACATATTCAAAATTCGGTTTGGTTTTCAGGACGTCCATAACTTCATCGTAATACTTTTTATCTTCAAAATATGAAGAGTTGCGGGCCTTAATAAAGAGATAGGGACAGGTGATACGTCTGGCCATTTCCACACACAACTCTTGGGAGCCCACAGCATAATTGTAGAATTTCAAACGTCTGTCACGTGTAAAGAAATACTTGTCTGGGTATTTTTCCGATTTTTGTATATTACGGGCCAACATATGTTTGCATAGATCCTTGTTCACCGAATGGAATGTGCCGACATAAATACGTTCGATTAGCTCATTGTAGGTGTAGCTGGGAGGTTCACTTTTATTGCGATTACGTTCATCTTCACGTAAAAATTCATCCATACGCGTTTCCATAGTGCGTATAACGCTGGGAAAAGGCCTCTGATGGGGTTTCAGGGCATCGATGCCAATGAACATATCAACTTTATCGGGAAAAACGGCAGCAAATACAAAACCAATAATCGACGACATTGAGTGGCCAATCAACGATAATTTCTCCCATTTGTATTGTTTCATGATTACACGTATAATATACAGATTGTCAATGGTATTGTAGTAACAACCATCTGGTAGCCTGGAAGATAAGCCATGTCCCGGTAAATCGACCGAAAGAAAAGCAATATCTGGTGGCAGCAATGGCACTAGCAAATCAAATGTACCAGCATTATCCTGCCAGCCATGTAAACCCAATATGGGTTGGACATCTTGAGGGCCATACCATTTGCCAGCCAAGTGGCCCCAAGGCACGGGAATAGTGACTTCAGCAAACTAGATAAAAAAAGGAAACAAATATTAAAACTGCAATTTAAAGACTAAAGTACTTTGTTTATATTAACCTCTCTTGTTGGTGGCTCCCCAGTTAAATCGCCAGCATGTCTGTATCTAATGTTTTTTGTTGTTCCGTCACCACTTTTCGATTCCATGCTGCTTACTATAATTGAAATAAAAGAATGTATTATAATGAAAGTTATTTTAGCTGTTTTGGAAATTATCGATAACGCAAATGAAAAAGATTAGCCTGTATATGTATGTCTATCAGTTGGTCTAGAGATAAGAATTCTGGTTTAAATCTATGAAATCAATAATTCAAAGGCCATAACAAAACAAGCTTATCAAATGACGAAAACAAAAGTATCTGCTTGGACTGAATAATAAAATAATCTAACAAAAGGATATTGAGAAATCAGCCCTAGACACCATCCAAATGTTGCAGTTCCTGACAGAGTAAACACTGAGTTATTCTGTTTCTTAAAAATACGTATATTTGGGCAAGAAATACAATCCGAAAAAAAGTAAGAAGTTTTCCGATCTAAAATGTAAAAAAAGTCAAAGTAACGATTTTATAGGAGGCATAAATCCCACTAGGCGTGTCCCTGTGTTACAGGATTACCAGAAATGCTTTTCAATCAAAAACTTTCCTGGGGGATGGGACAGAAATTAGATTTTTCTTGGAAACGATTCAGAAAATATAAAAAAAAATTGATAATTTCGGAAGAGGTGCGTCGCCCCCTAACAGCGTCGGTGGTTGTGATCATTCTCAATTCGGATGTGGGATACCAACTTTTGCTTTAAGAATATCACAGTCACCCAGAAGTCGGCAGTTACGTCACTCGAAGACCTTTGGCCCATTCTGTCTATCCGAAGAAGCGAAATAAGATATATATGGATGGAATATATGTCCAAGAAGGATGCTAGAGTTTTTATCTCCCACCTAACGATTAGCTTTTGTCGGTTGTTCGGTGGCATAGGGTGGTGTAGGATTTTGTCTCGTTTTCCTTTTCAGGTTCAAATATCTAATACTGATGTGGACCCTCAATACGCCTACTCCGATTCTTACATCTGAACTATCTATTGATAGAAGGCAATAGGTTATTCTTCTCGAGTTTTTATTGCCTTGCAACCGATTTCCAAGTGACATTTCCTGCCAGCCTCCCGGTGAAGGCCTTCTTGAAGACTAGGAACAACTTCAAGCTAATTCATCAGCCATTTCATTCCCCATAACACTACAATGGACTGGGAACCAAATATATTAAAAAAGTTTCACATTTCCTATCCTGACACTTATTACTTGAGACGATGAGGAGTGCAATGAAAGAGGGGGGGGGGGCACTGCAGTTGCTAATGGCATCTGTGAATCTATCAGTACGAATGCTATTCAGACCTGCTCGATGGGCTTCTTTATCTAGAGGCTATATTTTATAACGTTGGACCTCCCTCTGTAGAACGTGTAAGTTTTCCCACACGGCTTGTGGAAAAGTTGAATTCCCATAATATGGTTTAGATGACTCCCATTGCAACACTTTAACAGGTACTGCAACAAAAGTATATGTCCGCGCCCCAAGACTTGAATATGCTGTCAAATGGAAACACTAGAACCGTGGGGTAGTTCATTTCTTTGAACTTACCTCTCTAGATCATGTAGAACACCTGTGAGCAGAAATTCTGTCTATCATGAGAAGCTTGGATGATTTCCACAGACACTGAACGTACAAATCCTTCAGTGTATTTTGAGAGACTACCGCCTCCCATGCTAAAACCAAAGACCAATAAACGAAGACAAAATTCAGACTCATAGGAGCAGCATAGCAAGTACATTTATGAATAAGTCATAATAAAAACAGCTCTTAGGCTTAGGGAGCTCTGACAGGATCCCCTACAAAGTAATTCCAAAAAGTATCAGTCACAGTTACATTTTATTCTGAAAACATTATTTCAATATACTGAACATAATCGGCTCGGCCGGGTTCAAAGACCTATATCACTGAATTCCAAAAGATAATAACTCATATTGTAGCACTTTGGAAGGGTTATAGTGTCAACTATAATTTGGCAAATGTTGAGGACAACCAAAATGGAGCCATTTTCGACTTTTTTAAAAAATCCATGTCCAAAATAATTTTGACATAACTCCGGATCCGTTTTAAATAATATCATCACTTGTTGCGGAGGTATTTTCATTAGCAAAACAGTGTTGGCATGTTTGTCCGGGATACCCTAGTATTTTGTTGTTGCAAAATAGCCAGGATAAATCCCATTATTGTTGTTTTTAATACCTTATAAAAGAATTTTAAATAATAATTCCTTAAAGAATATCCCAGACAAAAAACAAGGAAACTGATGAGGATTGGTGGCTCTTTCCGAAACCTAGGTTGCTCTTTCCTAACCCCCTGGTAAACATTATTATTTTCATTAGCTTTCAAATGATACCTATATTGTCCACATCTGATTAGTAGGTACGGGTCTAACCCGGGTCTTGAAACCTCGGTTCAAATATCTGGGTATCCGGCACCCTCTTCCGGGAAAAAAATACTTTCCCGGAATCGGGATGCAAATATCTACCTCTGGACAAAATTTCAAAAAATTCGAGATTTTTTACTAAATTAGAGTTAAAGTTTTACGATGGCATTTAAAACCAGTAAGGAAAGCTCAAAAGTCGGGCGGGGCCGACTATATGATACCCTACACCACTATGCATATTTAGTAGAGCTCTCGTAAAAAGGTTTATACAGGGCATTTCAGAGCTCTATGAGATATTTGGTACAAAATCAAAATCTATCTAATTCTATCGTGCATTTTACGAACTATAGCTATCTCTGAACCGGGTTTCTCCAAATTTGACGTATTAGCTTCTAGACTGAATTCGTACTGAATTATGTACGAAAATTCAGGTGATTTGGGCTGATATTGGCCATTTAATGCACAATTAACACGAAATCGGATGAAGATATATATGGGAGCTATATCCAAATCTGAACCGATTTCGATAAAATTACAAACAGCTATTTCTGGACTGTATCTTATATCTGGTACCAAATATCATTCTTGTGGAGTGCATATTACGAATGTGAGAGGCTTAAACACAAAATCGGATAAAAGAAATATATGGGAGCTATATCTGTTTCTGAACCGATTTTCTCCAAATTTGTTGTATTTGCTTTAAGGCTAATCTCGGTCTCATGTGCCAAAATTCGGGCCATTTGGGCTGATATTGGTCATTTGGTGGTCAATTAACCCGAAATCGGATGAAGATATATATGGGAGCTATATCCAAATCTGAACCGATTTCGATAAAATTTAAAACAGCTATTTCTGTGCTCCATCTAATACCTGGTACCAAATATCACGGTTGTGGAGTGCATAGTAGGAATGTGAGGGACTTAAAGATCAAATCGGATGAAAGATATATATGGGAGCTATAACTATATCTGAACCGATTTTCTCCAAATTTGATATACTTGCTTCTAGGCCGAACGGTTGGGTGTGCCAAAATTCAGGTAATTTGGACTGATAGTGGACATTTGCTGCACATTTAACCCGAAATCGGATGAAGATATATATGGCAGCTATATCTAAATTTGATCCGATTCTCACCAATTTCAATAGGGTTCGTCCTTGGGCCAAAAAAATATTGTTTGGAAAATTTCATCTCAATCGGATAATAAATGCGACCTGCATTTTGTTCACAAGAATACATGGACAGACGGACAGACGGACGGACGGACAGACGGACTGACATGCATAAATCGACTCAGAAAGTGATTCTATGAAGGTTCTCAAAAGTAACTATGGGTCTATCTCGTTTCCTTCTCCATGTTACAAACAAATGCACAAAGACATAATACCCTTACCACTATGTGGTGTAGGGTACAAAAATGTGTACATTCTTGTATAGTAATGTCCAACCAATAAAATTCTTCAATGGCAGCCTCGGAAATTACTTCTATAAATCCTCTAGAAATATTTAAAACTTACTTCCAAAAGTTTGTAGGTCTTATAACAAGGAACGAACCATGGAACTAAGTTTGGCACGAATAACTGGAATAGCTTGACTGACATTAAAAGCACCTTCTTGCAATAATTACAACCACTGGAAAACACCTTAGTACCTAAATATATATTAAGCTTTACGATTATTAGTATCCATTAAAATAATTTCAATGAAATTTGCTCGTGTTTCACTTGAGATACATAATAATGTCAAAGGTTACATTCTCGTTGGCTATCATAAAAAACACCTAACTCCGAACTCATGTTCCAGGAATTTAACGTACATATTTTTTAAAGTCACAATCATTCACGATCAATGTCCATTTATACACATTCACATCAGTCATAACTTAATGTGGACTTTGACATTCACCTCCCCACTCCCAAAATACACTTTAATGTTGCTATCAGGAACCTTGCTTACATTCCTGAATGAAGTCATTCTCTTCTTGCTATCCTCAATTCCAATACTTACGTGTTAATTTGCTATCTGGTATTTTCAAGGATGCCATTGTTTCCTGGGGTTTTGTATTCGTCTTATTATATATTTCTAATTTGGTGAATTATCCGATAACTCCCCCTTCGAGTGACGAGTTCTTTGGTTTACTTTGGCAAGTAAGGGACACTTGGCAACACTGAAAAGAAAGACAGCACAGAAAGAAAATCTCAATAAAGATGGAAATCAAAAGGGAAAGGCCGACAACACAAATGGAATCAAAACAAAACGGCCGACAACATAAGAACAGCTGACTACTTCATCTTCGGAAACCAAAATAAAAAACGTCCCCAACGAATGAAATAAGAAAGCAAAAAGGAATGCACGATAAAAAATAAACAGAAAGCAAAATCCCCGAATACCTTGGCTGTTTACGAATGAGACATGAGGAAAACGCAATCAGCCGGACACATTCATTAAATGAACCGCGGGACTAGCACTAATGAGATTAATGTGTTGCCAATGAGTTGATTGTTAATAAGGTTAATAAGAGCTGACTGGCTGTTTCAGTGATGTCAATCCAACCGACTACTGATGGTAACGTCCAGGAAAAGTTAAATTTATGCCAAACATGATTCCCAGTGATTCATAGCGAAACAACCGTTTTATTATCTATTTTAGAACTGTCAAACTCTCAGGCATATGTTCGGCAAGGTTGCCACATCAACTGAAATGCCAGTGAATTGCCAACTATTTGGGAGATAATTTATGGCAGTTACAATGAAATTTAATTTAAATGAGATTTAAATTTGAATATGACAAACCTTTTTTACAATGAACGCGAACATATCTAAAATATTTACGTATGACGTGTGGCATATTTTACAAAAAAAAAGTTTTTTTCTGTGTTCCTTGGCACATAAAAACAATTATTTGTGTCATTCTCAGGAATACGAATTTTAACGCATCTTTTATTAGGCTTAAACATATGAAAAGTAGAGTTATATACCCTTCATTTTAAGGAAACTTTCTTGGAATTGTACCTTTAATGTAACTTATACCTGTCCATTTCCTATAGTGAACTTAGAGCACAACAAGGCGCGTTAATGCCGATCTTCATATTTGCCTTAACTTCAGCAAAATGATAATTCGAAGCAAAATTCAACAATTTCATATTCGTTAACAAAGACCTAAAATGGTAAAGACTAGACAAAATGCATTTTGAGCAAATGGTTTGTGTCTACAATACATGGAGTAACAGTTCATGAAAGAGGCATGTTAATATAAAAATCAAAATTACAGAAACGAACGACAAATAGAAATGTGAAAAATCCAAAAATGTGGTTTCAAAATTATATTCCATAGACTTTTCCAAAAATTCTCATATTGCCTTAGCGGTTTAAATCAATTAACATTGGTAGCTATGTTGTTATGATATCATAACAACAGAGGCATTTTCACAGGGTTGCCATATTTTTACTCTGTCTTGTCCTATCTTTATGCTTTCGTTAATGACTTAAGGGTTTTATATATTAGTTTTCTGTGTGGAAATTACAAACTATTTGGACGGAAATTCATTTAAATTCGGACAATATTAGTATGAACTTAACAAAGTTACTTTGTTGCAGAACTTGCTAGAATCTATCATATCATAAAGAAAAAATCTGCTATCGTGGTAACATTTCTTGAAGAGAGCAATTATAAAAAAAGTTCAATCATGGTACAATAATGAGGTAGAACAACTTCGTAAAACTACAGAAATACAGCCCTGAGGTTATGTGCGCTTCCTGTCAGACTCATTCAAAATTATATGCAATAAGTTGTGTTTATTTTTTCATATTTTTCCTCATTTTTAAAATGAGTTAAATAGCGCGAAAAATTAATGAATTGCCTGGATTTTTGCTCAAAAATCTGATCCAAACTTATCAATCTTTCAATTTCATGGATAAACTGGTTAATAGGTCATTTGCATGAGCCGTAATCTACGTGTATTCCAATCATTGATTTTTTTTTTTTTTTTTTTTTTTTTTTTGGACTGTCAAGCGAGCTCTCCTATGTTGTAGAGAGCATTGACGATCCTCAGGATACAAAAAGCCAGGTTGTACTCCAAATTAAGGTAAATTTGTAGAAAATCACCTCAAGTCCAATAGGTTTATTTTTCAAAATGATTTGCCAGATTACTTCACTCCAATGAATTTATTTTCCAAACTGGTTGGTCACTAGTGAAATCGATTACAATCCAATCAGCGTTTATCCCAACATGGTTTGCAAAGTCCAGTCCAATGCTTTTATTTTCCAAAATGGTTGGCCACTCTTGAAAACGATTACAAACCAATGAGCGTTTGTTACAAAATGGATTGCCAATATAAACAATCATTGGTTTTGAAAATATTTTTCAAAACAATAAATACATACACTAAATTGACAGAAGTCGGGCACAATTGTAATCAGGTGGTAGCTCTACTTTACCTTTTTTTATTGTAAACTTACCTTTTTTATTGTAACTTAATGCATGGTACAATAAGGAGGTAGAACAGCTTAGTAAAACTACAGAAATACAACCCTGAGGCTATGCCCGCTTCCAGTCAAATTTGCATGTAACAAGTTGTTTTAATATATTCAATATTTTTCCTCATTTTTTGGAATTAGTTAAACAGCGGGAAAAATGAATTATATTCCTAGGTTTTCTTTCAAAATTATGATCTAGACAGTTCTATCTTCCAATTTCATGGTAAAACTGGGGAAAAGCTTTAATGCGCGTCTCGCAATGTACGCATCTTCCAATCATGGATTTTGAAAATATTTTGTTTTTATTTTTCAAAACGCACATTTAGAAAAAAATTGTAATCAGCTGGTAGCTCTACCTTACCTTTTTATTGTACCATGATCAATAGTTTTTATACCCTACACCACAAGGTGGTCAGGGTATTATGTCTTTGTGCATTTGTTTGTAACAGGCAAAAGGAAACGAGATAGACCCATAGTTCCTTTTGATGATCTGCATAGAATCACTTTCTGAGTTGATTTTTGCATGTCCGCCTGTCCGTCCGTCTGTCCATGTATTCTTGTGAACAAAATGTAGGTCGCATTTATTATCCGATTGAGATGAAATTTTGCAAACAACATTTGTTTGGCTCAAGGACGAACCCTATTGAAATTGGAGATAATCGGTAAAAATTTAGATATAGCTCCCATATATATCTTCGTCCGATTTGCTTTTTGTTGTGCACCAAACGTGTAATATCAGTCCGAATACTATGGAATTTTACACATACAACCAAATTAGGCCTAAAAATAAGTATGCCAAATTCGATCGAAATCGGTTCAGATATAGCTATAGCTCCCATATATATTGTTCATCCGATTTGTTATTTTTGTCCTCCGCAGCCGTAATATGCACTCTGTAACAACATTATTTGGGGAAATATATCAAATGCAGCTCAGAAATACCTTTGCTAAATTTTATCGAGATCGGTTCAGATTTGGATATAGCTCCCATATATAACTTCGTCCGATTTACCATTTATTGTGCACCAAACGTCTAATATTTGTCCAAATGGGATGGAATTTGGCACTTACGGCCGAATTTAGTCTATAAGGTAGTATGCCAAATTTGGTGAAGATCGGTTCAGATATAGTTATAGCTCCCATATATATTGCTCATCCGATTTATTGTATTTATTACCCACAGCCGTAATATGCACTCCGTAACAACGATGTTCAGGAAAATATATCAAATACAGCTCAAAAATATCTTTGCCAAATTTTATCAAGATCGGTTCAGATTTGGATATAGCTTCCCACATATATTTTTATCCGATTTCAAATTAATGTCGCACCAAATGGGCAATACAAGTCCGAATTGAAAAGATACAAATGCTTCGGCATATTTAGTCCTTTGAATTTTAAATTATAATTATAATCATAGCGTGTATGATTGAATTCTCCCATAAAAACTTTTAATTATTAAGTGGAGCTCAACTAAATTAGCAAAGTGGTGTAGGGTATCATAAAATCGGCCCCGCCCGACTTTAGGACTTTCTTTACTGGTTTGTTTTGTTTTAAACGGAGTTAAAATTTTAAATTCAAATAAAATTTAAAATTTTTAAATACAAATAAAATTTTGATACAACTCCGGTGAGTAATTTTCCCAAAAACATTAAAATATCGACTATCGGGGGTACGATTGTATGTGGATTATAATGTTCTGCATTTTACCACAAATTATATACATATCGAAGATTTCTTATGGTGATGTGTGTGTGTGTACTTTTTATAATGGAAACCCCCATACGCAACGCATACATTATTATTATTTTGTTGGTGGGTCTTTTTCAAAATTTCGAAAACATCGAAATAAATATTTACTTTTAATCGCAATAAACACCTGACGAAGATCATTAACGGTGGACTTTCAAACATATTTTCAGGTATTTTTTTCAACAAAATACTGGGAAAGGAAAACCAAATAAATACATTTCATTGTTTATTAACAATTTGGGGTTTTATTTCATAGTTTCGATTTTTACCCTACCTTAGTATGTGACGTTATAGCGAATGATTTGGGCTTTAAACAAATTGTCTTTAACATCATTCAAAAAATGTAAAAATCAAATTTCAAAAAACCCTTTTAAAATTTCCACATTTAAGGGTCTTGAAAAATATGCTTAAAAATATTATGAAAGTGTATTCTTACAAGAAATATTCTTTACTTCCTTATATATTCCAGTAGTGGAATTTGCTAATTAATTTTTTGAGCTACCGATAAAAGTCGGTATTGTTCAATACAAAATTTGGGACAATTCCGTGGGAAAATGTGACTAAAATCACTCAAATACAAAAATGTGGACGGATATATCTCATTTTCAATACCAACCATCCAAGAATAAATACAAACAAACAGGACTAAATGCAAAGGCTCTACGTGAAATAGTGTGGACTATACAGGGTGGCGCAAAAGTAATCCTCCTATCAGAAAATGCTATAAATTTTACCATTGGCCCCTAATGTCAGCTCTGTTTTAACATTTTTGTTGTAAGCGCATGCGAAATACACAATAATAACCAATGTTCCGCTACACTGCTTCAGAAACCGGAGTATTGGTGACTATCGGTCGGTGACTTTGGAACAATTTCGTCGC